TTTGTTGGGGTGTTGGGCTGTTGGTTTGTTTGTTTGTTGGGTTGTTTGTTTGTTTGTTGGGGTGTTGGGGGTGTTTGTTTGTTTGTTTCTTTGTTTAAGGTGTTTCAGCAACAGCCGGAACAGCTCTTGCTTTTCTGATTTTTTTAGCTGTTTGGTAACAGCCGGAACAGCTCTTGCTTTTCTGATTAGCTGTTTCGGCAACTTTGCCGAAATAGGTATTTTTTTTCTGATTATTAGCTGTTTCGGCAGCAGACCTTTGCACCATCATCCAAGGACGGTCCTAGACGAAATTCACAGTGATAACTTAAGCAGTTTATTTATTTTTAATTTTTTAAGAATTAATTTTTCCTATAGACTTTGTACACACTTTTTGCACACAGTTTTCTGACTGTCCTATATTAGGCTATGAGGGCGCTATTGCAGAATTACGGTTACACATGCCTGGGCTTTCAATTTTCAACAAACTGTCCCATATCGAACCATGTGGATGGCGACGTTGCATAACGTAGGGTTTGTACATGTACAAACATTGTCCAGCGTAATGTGTGAGCAGTCTTCAACTTCGACCGAGAATTACTACCAGAACGAAAAAGAAATCAGACTAAATATTCCCTTCCGTTTTATCGCAAATATACCCAAGTGTGCAAATATTAAATAATATTTCATAAGTTTTGTCCAGTTTAGACAAAAATCACGTGACATGAAATTAAAGGAGTAGTTTTCCTGCACACGTGTTTCTAGCCCATTGACTTTGTACACGTTTCGAGCCACAGTTTTGATAACTTTGCAGTGTTTGATCGTTCCCAAAGTGATAGCCGACAAAGACCCTGATGTAAGATTTATTGCGAAGGGATGATGTCATGGTGACATCATCACCTTATTTTATATTCAATTTTTCCCGATAGGTTTTGTACACGCTTTTCTACTTAACGCAAGTGAAAAAGTAGTCTTTAACTTCGGCACAATATTACTATAAGAACGAAGGTGAAATCAGGTACTTTGCGCTCTGTTATTTTATTTGAAATATGCCTAAGAGTCGGAATATGAAGCAATATTTCTTTAAAACGTTCAGTTTCAGTGCAAATCACGTGACACGGACTTAAAGGAGCAGTGTTTCCGCAAATGAGTTTTTTGCCCTAGACTTTAAACACGTTTTCAATGTTCAATTTTAAAACCTTTGTTTTAAATGATGTTTGATGATTATTAAAGTGACAGCCAACAAAGACCGTGATGCAAAAATTATTGTAAGTAAAGGACGTCATGATGACGTCCTCATGCTATTTATTATTGATTTTTTAAAATTTATTTCAGCCCATTGACTTTGTACGAGTTTTCGAGGCACTATTTTCGTACCTTAGTAATCGTTGATTATCGTCAAACTTACAGCAAGAACGAACTATACAACGAAGATAATTTTATCATAGTTACGTCATGATGACGTCATCACGTGATTTATTATTAAATTTTGAATATTTAAATTTAGCATGAAATATATAAGAACCCATAGAAAATCAACCGTGGCCCCCACAACATTCTGTTTGCAGCAAGTGCCAGGGTAAAAGTCGTCTTGAAGTAGGCTTATTGTTTAAAAGTGGTAAAAGCCATTATGTTTTTTTTCAACGGAATAAGTCTGTCAGTGTTAGTGCTGAGTTGAAACCCTGCTTATATCCTGGAGAAGTAGTGCTTTAGGCAAATATTGAGCATATTTAGTGACAAAGACGTCATCAGGAGTCAGGTCACGTGACATTAAAGGGGAACTCTTCATACCACTACACTTCGAAAAGAACATGTCCGATGCGGTTGAAACTTTGTGTGTGGCTGGAACGGGGAGGGTTCTAGACCCAAATTGATCTGATTTGATTCTGACCTCTTCTGGTGACAAGTCAAGTGACATTAAAGAAATACAATTCTTGTAACTGATATCACATCCACTCGTGATGACGTCAACAATCGAATAAGCCATTTATGTTATCTTTAAGTAAGTATTGTAATTTTTACGCTATTGTGAGAATTGAAGCTCCACGAAGTACAAAGCAAACCCTCAACAGTGAGAATAATATCAAGTGCCAAGTCATACTAAATTATCTTCTGAAGTTGACATCCAATTGCAGTGGTTGAAATTGATTTATAAATTAAACTTTTTCAGGGTATATGTCACGTCCAGAAAATTAAAATGTTCATTTTTACTCTCTCATAGTTTCTGAATGCCAGTTTTTTTTCATCACAATTGCCAATTCTTATTTAATTGGTGAAACAGTCCCGAAACAGCTCTGTGTTTGTACTTGTTTACAAACACTTCTATCTAGTGTTTTTTAGTTCTTTTTCAGCTCAATTCTTTCTGGCAGTCGACTTTGCCCGTTTGCTAAATCTGATCGATCTTGCATCAGGGTCTTTGTTGGCTATCAATTTCGGAACAATCAAACACTGCAAAGTTATCAAAATTGTGGCTCCAAAACGTGTACAAAGTCAATGGGCTAGAAACACGTGTGCAGGAAAACTACCCCTTTAATTTCATGTCACGTGATTTTTGTCTAAACTGGACAAAACGTATGAAATATTATTTAATATTTGCACACTTGGGTATATTTGCGATAAAACGGAAGGGAATATTTAGTCTGATTTCTTTTTCGTTCTGGTAGTAATTCTCGGTTGAAGTTGAAGACTGCTTACACATTACGCTGGACAATATGTGTACAAACCCTAAGTTATGCAACAACGCCATCCACATGGTTCAATATAGGACAGTTTGTTGAAAATTGAAAGCCCGGGCATGTGTAACCGTAAATCTGCAATAGCGCCCTCATAGCCTAATATAGGACAGTCAGAAAACTGTGCACAATCTGTGTACAAAGTCTATGGGGAAAAACTAATTCTTAACAAAATAATGATAAATTAAACTATCTAAGTTATCACAGTGAATTTCTTCTTGGACCGTCCTTGGATGATGGTCCAAATGTCTGCTGCCGAAACAGCTAATAATCAGAAAAACAATACCTTTTTCGGCAAAGTTGCCAAAACAGCTATAGTCAGAAAAGCAATACCTGTTTCGGTAGAGAAGTTGACGAAACGGCTAATAATCAGAAAAGCAAAAGCTGTTCCGGCTGTTACCAAACAACTAAAAAAAAATCAGAAAAGCAAGAGCTGTTCCGGCTGTTGCAGAAACACCTTAAACAGCAACAAAAAAAACATAACAAAAAGAATACCTTTTTGCACCTGGC